GTGAAGAAAGAGCAAATGTGTCTGCCATATATATCCCTTGAAATTCAAAGAAAATGTTGGATAGAAACACAATTTCTATAGCTCTAGAAAGAAGATCAAAGTAACTGTAACAAAGAGAAAAAAATACACCAAGCCACTGAGATAAAAAAGGAAGAGAGTAGAGCAGCACACCGATGAAGTTAAAGGGATGCAGTTCAGGAAGAAAAAGATAGAAACCAGCCATGGGAGAAAGAAAGATGGACTGTAGAATAGGAGACTGCTATTAAACTGCCAGAGCATAGAAGATATAAGAAAACAGTGGGCTAGTAAGAGGACTGAAAAAGACAGCAAGGCATCTATAGCAGAAACTGAGAGTTACTAGTGCAGGGATTTGAATTGGATAGCCTGGATAAATTAGAACTTGGAACAGAGGTCTTAAAAGTGTTGAAAGTGACAGTAAAAGGCAAGGTATGGAGTATAGCTAAAATTGAGACAGAAACTGAGTGGAGGCAGTAGAGCAAGAAGTGTGCAAAACCCACCACGGTGGCTAAAAAGGAACCAAAATTCCTGAGTCCCACCATCTTTTATCTGTACAAAGCCAAGTGGCAAAGCATCTTGTTGCCCTCCAGCATGATACCATACACAGAAAAATAACTATCTCCTAATCTGTTATTAAATGAAGAGGCTTGAGGTGCTGGGATATGTCCCAGACTTTCTATGTATATATGCAACTCTAAGATACATTTTGATGTCACAGAATGGGACCTTTCTATTTGAAAAAGCAAATTCAAAAAAGTTTATGCACAATAAGAGTCAGAAGAATATGGAATTGGAAGGTCGAACTCTTACATGTATAACTTTGATAAATCTTGTTTCTGCTTCTACATTAAGATAAGGTGTTCAAGGATTCATGAAAAAAACTATTATTTGTATTTTCTTGATCTTAACTTGGCAAAGTATTGTGCTGGGTAAACAGAACCTATTCATAAAAGTTTATAGACCATTGTGAACAGGTTCAGAAAATAAACAAGGCTTTTTCTTTGGAAGTGCATGCAAGTAATAGAGTCTTGTCCCCAAGATACTGAGGGCAGGATTGACCTATGACTAGTACACATGGCTTTTTACTTTAATAGCACAGTTTCTTGACTCTGGAGTTGGTCAAGAAAATGCATGGTCCCCACAGCTTTTCTGCTTTGAGTGGTTCTTTCTGTTCATAAAGCAAAACTCCCGAGTCAAGCAGAGAAGATCTGAAGGGCAGTGTTGTGGCACAGAATATAAAGCTCACTGTAATTGGAGTCATATCTGGGATTCACATCAGGGACAATAATCCTTTTAAGCTTTACACCAGAAGATAAGATCCACGTAAATCTGACAACTTCAGAGCTGTCAGTGCAAAGTTGTTGAACTTCTCACACTGTGAAACAGAGCTCACTATTCTAGGAGGCTCACTATTCTACAGGTAACTCAGTCTTGCCCTCCATTTGCACTTTCTTGTTATTTAGACAGCTCTGTCTATAACATTCATGCTGTATCGACACACACAAAAGCAATATCTAGGAAGCCGAAAAACCCTTTGTACCAGAAGTACAAGGATCTCTACTGATAACATTTGCATATTTACAAGCTACATACATTGTAATATACTACAACTGCTTATAGTTTTCCTTCCAGACATCTTCTAACTGTTGTAAACTAGAGGAGTTTGAGAAGAACATGAGATCAGTGCTGTTTTTACAAGTGTTTGGGGATTTTTAATGGCCACCAAGTACATAGGACTTCACCTTAACATGTATGCTGAGCACCTCTTGATGCACTAAGGATAAAATGGGAATAGCCAAAACAGATCTCCTGAGACACATAAACTCCAGATTTAACACAGTTTGAAAATTAGGTGCACTGGGGTAATGTTCCAAAACAGCTTCAAACTAGTCACCCTTGCAGGTGTTGAATACCCGTGGCCCCTTTTCTCCTTGTGCTTGATTGCCTGTTCATTACTGAATGTGCACTCTATGCCCTTTTGCTTCAACATATCTAGCAAATATCATCCCACAAAACAAACCTTTTAAAATTCTCAACTTGTCCAAAAACTTGATACCAGTAAAGGAGAAAACAGAAAAATAAAATAACCCTCTCCATTTTCAATATCTGCCAGCAAAATACTTTCCTTTTTCTAACAGCTGAATACAGTCTTCATTTTTAGCTATCATCTCCCCCTTCCTCATGTGTCTAGCATAGCAGACATAAAATTTTTGTCTGATAACATGAATTTAGTTACTGAAACTAGTACTGTTTCCTTTCATGTGAGCTGCTCTAGCCTGCTTTGCTCTCCGGAGTTTTGCTTTCTGTTGCATACAGTACAGATTTAAGCCCAGTCTTGGCAGACTTGACTTTTTCTGCTTTGTTACAGACATGTTTATGGCCAAACCACTCTAGGAAAACATTTCAGCAAAAATCAATGAATTTGTAGAGAAACTGTGCCACTCATTTATATAGTCTGTTGCCACAAAGAACATAACTTGTTATTCCACATTTGTTTAGAGGGCAAATTTGCTCAGAAGTTTCTTGAACTCCTTTGAAATATGATGAAATTGATGGAGTCATTCTTTACATCTATGAGACGGTTTGGATTCTAAACAGCTGACAGAACATAACTGGTTAATATAAATTAAGAAGTTGTAACCATATACAACCCCTTCAAGCTAATTTATGCTTTTCTAATGTTACTATGGGTTAAGCTAATTTATGCTTTTCTAATGTTACAATGGGGTTTTTTTTCATTTAGAGGATATAAAACTTATGGAATATTGCATAATAACACATCAGTAAATAGCAATTGCATATAATTTCTTTTTCTGTTTAGACTAGTCAGCATTTAGATACAAGTAGTTTTTTTTAGAACAGAAGACTGTTACCAGAGTTCCAGTAAATTATTAAGAATCTTATCATTAATTTCAAAGAGCTGGAGATCAAGGTGCATACAGAGAATCAAATATATCCTCAGGTAAATGAGAGTCAAGGAAGATGTTTCAGGAACGAAACATGAAAATTCATAGAAATATGTAAGCTTACAAAGTCAGGAAAGAGTTGATTGCAGAAGTGTCCAGCTTAATCTCAGCATGTCAGCTGACTTATTGGAACACATTCCACTCCTCAAAGCAAAGTATCTTACTACAAAGTCCACCAAATTCAATATGTGGCTTACTTTTGGGTAGGAACGTGTCCCTCTGAGAAATTTGTGATACTGGGATGTAGTTCATGTTTTTCCATGGGCATGAGCCAGCCAAATTGGTTCATAAATGTGACTGTGGGAGCACTTCCATAGTTTGTCAATATAAGGGGTCAGCAAGTAGAGCAGTGAGACTAAAATGTAGGGGTATTGCATAAAATTCCTGATCTTTTAACTGTAGATGGGCATTTGGACTCATATGTAGGGTTAAAAAAGGTAGACATGGATAATTCAAATTGGCTTAGGATTCAATATTCCAGTGAGCGTAGTATATGGAGAAACCATCGTGAGATATTATTTTTCTTGTGCAGTTTCAAATGTAGAATCAGTAACTCAAGCACTTGAGTCTCCTAGGAGTGTTTGTGAAATAAAAAACTCTCACGGAGGAGTGGTTATACATCCAAATGATTCTGCTGTCATATGAAAAACTGCTCAACAATATGATTAAAGGC